ATTTCAGAAGCATCACCTAAAATCTGTTCTTTACATGAAGCAATACTTCAGTTACTCCAAGATTTTCTGGATCCATACAAATGGAAGTGACTAACCTTCAGCATCAGAGCCTGACTCTGCCTTTCATCCTGAAGAACTGTCTGTAACCAAAATACAACAAAATAAAGAATTATCTACTGCAGAAACACCTACTAACAAAATACATAATCACAAAAAAAAAAAAGAAAGACTGAAATAAACAAAAGACCATTTCTCTTTCCATTTCTTTTGGAAAGACATATTCCAAAAGTACAAAGCCAGAACACCCATTTGTAACTACATATTTGTTCTTCATCTCCACTCACTCTCCCTCACAAATCTGTAGCCTTCCTGTATTCCTGCAATAGAGAGAGAAGCTGAGTTACTGCAGAGAGATTCAAGCAGGAAGATGTACTAGAAAGTTAGGCCTGGATATCTGCTATCACATTTCCTTGAAGCGCCACTTGAGCATTGTACATTCAGAGAAGAAAAGCTATAAAGCCATTTCCAAATCAGAACTCAGACTCACATGCGACCATACACATCAACAAACTACTGGTATTAAGGACAGATGTGGAGTAAACAAAACATAAATGGGAGCTATGGACCTTCAGGGAGTCCCTTGTTCCTCTGTAATCCTCTTGAAGATAACACTGTAACAACTGCACACTCTGCTCTTCATCCAGACCCTGGAAAAGAGAGAGATGCTCTGAAATGAATAAAAACTGAATTCATTCAAGATGAAGATCCTCTCCAAATATTCAGGCAGCTCTTCTCTTTAAAACAACTAACTTCCAAAATATGCTGAAAGAAAATTTTTTGCATCAGGCAGATGCTTGCTTTACTCAGCACTTCTGTTTAAAGCAGCATACATAAGCTTTGATGTCACTTAGATGTAGCCAGTTTAACTTCAGCAAAAGGAGTATAACAGCGATTTTTAAAAAAGGTACCTCCACCAGTCACCAAATTCCAGCCTCTGGCTTGAAGGAACATAACCTTGCAGGTAAACCAGGAGTATTTTCAAACATGGCAATTCATTTAAGGGAGATCAGTTTTTAGCTGAGCAGTTTCAGGTGTCTTGAAAGAACTCAAGAAAGACCAAAAGCAGGTGAATGCTTCTGAAAAGCAGGGCCCTTTGCAGCAGGAGAGGGGGTTAATGAGGAAAACTGAGGCACCTCGAGGTCACTAATCACTCTAAGATTTTCAGCTATGGCCCCAACATGTACTTCTAACATCCTTTAGATTATTTTGAACTGAAAGGACTTTAAGTTTGCCCCTGTTCAACATCAAGAAGCTTACTTAAACAGAATCCCAGTAACAATGCATTCCAATTGCAGGGATAAAAAAAAATCAGAATAGCACCTTTACTCACCAAAAACTTGCTGACCCTCAGACCCAACTCTTTTAGTGGAGCAGCTACATCTTTATCAGCTTTTATTTTTTCTGCAGAAGTGGTACTAAAGAAAAAAGAAATTTTCATCATGAACAATGCAGCAATCCCAAGGAATGAATTAAAGAGGCTTAATTTCAAAGTTCTCAGTTTTATCAGTTTAAACTGAACATTTGCTTTTTCCTCAATGGCCTTTCAATATTTCGTGCAACAATATTCTACAATCTTCCCAACAGACAAAACTTAACAATGTTCACAATTACTACTCTAATAAATGCAGGCTATATTCATTCCACCTTCTCCAGTGAGGGAATCTGGGTATCTTTCTAGGATGACTGAGTGTCAAGAGGAGTCACTTCTCCACAAGATGCACACCTGCACCTGATCACTGCAGCTCAGCAGAGGTAAGTTTAAAAGCTACCTAATATGAGTAATGACAGCAAAAACTGCTATTACTTCTTTCTGGTCTGGATTTCATGCCCAAAAACGTTATGTGGATTAAGTATGTTCTCTTGCTACTCCTCTCCTCAAATCTCAATTCATGCAAGAGAGTAAAGATCTATTTTTAAGTAATCAGAGAGAAATATTCAACATGCTCCTCTACTTATTAGAAGATCCCATTTCAGAAGTTAATTTCTAAAATCAAGCAATTACTATACCTGGGCGGTTTATAGTATGAAAGTCCCTCTAACAATCTCTGCCAGTGCTTGTTCAATTCTGCTGCGATCTGTGCCTAAAAGAAGAACCAAATACTACTGAACAGATGCCTCAATGTACACTTCCAAGTATCAGATTTGTTAAATTTAAGCAAAGCAAAGAAATTCCACCACCACAAAGAGACAGGAACAACACAAGACAAGCATCTATGATTCAGATTGATTCAAGGTGCATATTGTATGAGAAAGCTCACTGCCTTGCCTAATCACGGGAAGGGAGAGGAAATAGGAGGCAGTGGACTGGGTTCAGAAATACTTGGATTTCCAACCTCTGAGCAAATTCTTGAAAGCATGGGCTCTGCCCCAGAAAATAAGGAAGCAGGCTGTACCATTTATTAATACCTCAGGCCAGCCAGTCTAGAAAGTAGCACTTGTGTCTGCTCCAGAAAGGGAACTACCTTTTCACACACACCCTTCCAGGTAGTTCATGAAGCATCTATAAACAAGAATGAACAAGTAGCAGAGACAGAGGAACAAAAATCACACTGAGGAAGAGGGAAAAGCAACAAAACTATTTTCACTGATATTCAGAGAGGTGTACAAATGATATATTTGGCCACGGAGTCCATTCAGTGATGGGCAAACGTGTAACAAGACACAGACTTACTGGTTCTCTTAAAGCTGATCTGCCCAGAAGAATTGTCCACAATTCTCTGCTGCTCCTGTACGGGAAGCGAAAAGGCAGAGAGTATTTTAATGATGAACACTATTTCAGGCTTCCATTTAGCTTACACCTTTTCAAACCTGGCAGTAACTCAGAGCAGATCACACTGCAACGTAAGAAAAGTGATTTAAGGAACAAACAAATCCTTCCATACCAGTTTCATCCTTCACTCTTAAGTGGAACATAAAACTGGGTGAAGTGAAAAATTGCAACACCTTTACATAACGTAGAGCAATTTGCCGCAGGTCGTCAGAATATTTACCCTTGGCTTCTTGTTTCTTCCTGAGAACTCTGCAGAAAAGCCTACCTGCGCTATAAGGTATTACAGTCTGCCAAAAAGAGTATTTCAGGAACTTAGACAATTGCTGATTTGTTAGCAATGTAATACAAATCAGGAGGTAAACACCACTGCTCCCCACACAAAGACTGTCTACAAAATCAAGAAACTTATTTTTAGAATAGCATCATCAAAATAACACACCATGGCAGTGAAAGTCATCTGCAACTTCTGACACATGCTGCCACGTAAGATGAGAAGACCTATTATTTCCAGTACACCTATTTCTACCTGCTAATTCCTTGATAGTTAGGTGCACCTCCCTGTGTGTAAGCTAACAAACCTCCCCACGATTCGGTTGCCTCTCCAGCCCACACACAGCACCAAAAGGCCACAGAATTTTACAAAAAAAATGAATTGCTTTGTAGAACTGAGCACCAGCCTCGCAGAGCCAACACTTTTGCTTTTCATTCCCTCCTAACCTCTTCCTGAATAAAACAGACCACGGTTTGTTGTCAGTTCATTAATTAGACTCCAAGACAACTAAGGAGTGAAAGCTCTCTTCATGCGACCACATGTAACAGCGGTGTTCTTGTCCCCATTAGGGCTTACAGACACTAATTTAATAAAAAATAACATCTAGGAACACTCCAGAGTCTAAAAACGTTACAGTCAATGTCAAAAAACGTGCTCAGTGTAAATGAAGGCACCGATCTAAAGTGATCACTGAACCTGGGATTCATTGAGTAGCTTTCTTTATACATCCTCCGCATCTCTATTTTGATTTTTATATTTGCAAAGAGTTGTCCCAAAGGTGAAAATCGGCCCCTGAACGCTCTGCTCCCCACGAGCGCGGCTCTGACAGACACCTCCGGGACGTCGGCGTAAACCGAGCCTTCGCCTTCCCGAAAGCAAAAAGCGTTGAAGGAGCTGTTTAACATTTCACCTCTTACAACACGGCACAATAAAAGAAACGCAAAATCACTAAAAGTCACTGGAAACACCGAAATTCAGCCGCCTGGGGGGTCCCCGAGGGCCCCCTCAGCGAGGGACGGGGGCGGGGCCTCCCTGCGCGCGCGGGGGGCGGGGCCAGGCC